CTATATGTTGTAGGGCTGTGGTGAAGAAGAAAATAAACCAGTGACTAAAGGAAAACGCACCAATCAAATCTCTACGCCTTCAAAACAATGGAAATCAGCCAGATCATTGGAAGGATCTTTGAATAGCGATCAGAGGCGTACAGTGACTGATTTAACGGGATCGACCGCACAAGCTCCCACTTCAAGCCAAGTTAATTTGCCAACGAAACAAACAAGTAGACGTAAAATGTATATACCCAGAACGTTGCACCCCAAAGAGAAGTCTTGCGAGAAAAAATTGAAAAATCAACTTATCACACGCTCAAACTCAGTGCAGGACAGAGCACTCCATCTAAAGGTAAAGTCATGCTCCCTATTTTTCTGTAAATTTTTCCATGTTTAAAACCAAAGTATTCTTTTCTCATATAACCAATTTGCAGGAAAAGATATCTTGTTGCTTGTCATCACATTTAGTACGTAGATGGTGCACTTTTGAGTGGTTTTATAGCGCACTTGACTACCCTTGGTTTGCCAAAAGGGAGTTTGAGGAGTACTTAAATCATGTTGGACTGGGACACATTCCGAGACTAACTCGTGTTGAATGGGGTGTCATTAGAAGGTACATATTTCAACTAGTTTAGATAGAATATGATATGTGAATTGTGAAAATATTTACTGAAGATTGTTTCATTGCTTTCTCTACGTTGCAGTTCCCTTGGCAAACCTCGAAGGTTTTCTGAGCACTTTCTACATGAAGAAAGGGAGAAACTTAAACAATATCGGGAATCTGTGAGGAAACATTATGCTGAGCTTCGTACTGGTGTTAGGGAAGGACTCCCAACAGATTTAGCAAGACCCTTATCAGTTGGGCAACGAGTAATTGCTCTACATCCTAAAACAAGAGAAGTTCATGATGGAAGTGTGCTCACCGTTGATCATGATAAGTGCAGGGTTCAGTTTGACCGTCCAGATATAGGAGTTGAATTTGTCATGGTAGGGGTTCTTTTAACTTGTCTACATGTCATTCTTTCCATTTTGTATTCGTGTTCTCAGTGTGGAAATATTTTTGAGTCTCATTTTCGTCAAAGTGCATATTGACACTCTTGCACCCATCTTCACACACCAAATACTAGCTTATTTGATCTTTAGTGAGTCAATAGTTACCAATGCTAGATAAACTGTTTTCCCTCGACCATCCTATCTAAGGATTTATTTGTGTGCATGACTCTTGGATTGGGATACTTGACTGTAATTTAGTAATTTAAATATTGGGTTCTACCAGATATATCACTCAAGTTATTACTTTTAGGGAGTAATGTTCTAGTTTTCTGTTTAGCTCTTACTGAATTGTTTTATCTATCAGAAATTCAAAATAAAATTATGTGGCTGTTGATTCAAATAAAGTCTACGGATCATAAAAATTTTAGGTTATGCATTCAAGGATTACGTACTAATTATATACTAACTGAAGGAAGATGAACCCAGAAGATTTCAGATGACGCTGCTGTTTGCTAAGCAGCTTGATAATTTAATATTTTATTCTTTTGGTTCCTATTTCTCATGTGCTATCAAGAGCTAGTGAATCAGAACGCTACATCAAGAAAATCCATCTGTTTATTTTGAGATATGACATGAGAAAATTTCTTTGCAGGATGTTGATTGTATGCCTTTGAACCCATTGGATAATATGCCAGAAGCTCTAAGGAGACAGAATATTGCTTTTGACAAATCCTTTCTTACATCCAAGGAAGCAAATAAGAATGGAAATCTAAATTTTGGAGGGCCTATGATGTTTCCTTCAAGTGGGCATTTGGTGAAAGCAACTAGCCCCGTGAATGCCTCCATAAAGCAGGGGAAGGTCAGCATTTCTACTAAGCAAAACTGTGAATTTGTTTATGTTAAAACTCTTCGCAGTTCATAAAATCCACTGCTTATCTTGTATTCTGGAACGTATGGATGGTAGTTTTCATGTATAATCAACTAATTTTCTTAAAATTTTGTACAGGGGGATGCAATTCATACAACAGCACAACCAAAAACAGCATCGGCTGATATTGGTGGGGCACAACAGACAGCATATAGTCAACCTGGTATGGTGGTCGCACATAATCAAGCAAGGGAAGCTGATATACGAGCTCTTTCTGAGTTGAATCGGGCTCTTGATAAGAAGGTTTATACTTTTATTTTACCCTTGAAGCTGATTAATAGATGTATATAATTTATTTCAATTTATTGCCAAAATGGGAACATTCTGACGCCGCATTTCGCATGCATTTAGGTGTCTTATCATAAATTCAGTTGGCTTGAAAGTTTTCAACCTTTAAGCCACTTCCTCCTGAACTCCTTAGGTCTTCTAGAATTTCCTCAATATGGTCGTTGGTGCCCTTTCCCACTTTGGTCAATTGTCTTGGTGTTGTCTTTATCCATCCCTGAAAATCTTTCAGCATCAAGCTTCTTTGGTAATCTTCCTTGAATTTGTAACGATGCTCAGAAAGGGTTGATTTTGTTTTTCGAATTTTAGGAGGCATTGTTGGTGGAGCTTAGGAACACAAATAATAACATCTTGGAAAACCAGAACAGTGGAGAATGCTCTTTAAAAGATAGTGAGCCTTTTAAGAAGCATTACGCCACGGTACTTGTACAGCTAAAGGAAGCCAGTGGCCAGGCATGTGGCTTCCGTGAATTTATATCATGTCATGCTTTACATCTGTTTTTGGTGTACCATATTCTGCTTTAACCTTGTAGCGGCCCTAAAAAATTCAGTTCCACGTGCAGGTTTCTTCAGCTTTGGTTAATTTGAGGCAACGGAATACTTACCCAGCAAATTCCTTGCCTCCTTGGATGAAACAGCCATCCAATTCCACCATCTATGGTGGCCCGAGTTCCTTCGACAGCTCTATTTCTCAAGAGTCAGGATCTAGTGTTGCTGACATTGTTGAAGTTTCAAAATCGAAAGCACATATGATGGTTAATGCTGCAATTCAGGTATGAACTGGATGTGCTGTAATTTTGGGTTTGTAGGATATTGGTCTTCTACATTTGGGCCGTATCTTATCAAATGGCTGAAAATCCAAACGTTAGTATTCTTTATTTTTCGCCGAGGAAAATCCAAGCCGTTGCTCTTTTTCTTTCTTCATTTTCTTCGGTATTGAAGTTGAAGGCAGTTAGTGCGGTAACATAATGACACTATCATTACAGGCAATGGCGTCAAGGAAGTGCGGGGAAGATGCTTACGTTAGAATGAGAGAGGCTCTAGATTCCATCGATAACCAGCATTTCACATCAGACTCTAGATTACCTGTAAACAGGTCTCAAGAGCAAGTAAACGGCAGTTTGGGCCATCGCAATCAATTAAGTTCCGGCACATCAGATCCCAACTTGACCAGTGATTCATCTGCACCGAAGTTGCATGACGCTGACAAAAATGAGGCACAGATTCTTTCGGAGCTCATCTCTGCATGCGTGATGGCTGTACACATGATACAGGTAAACTGAGCGTGTCGAGTTAGGTCGGTAGAGAAAAATGCTAGTGTTCACTTTCCCTTGGTGGTTTCTTACCTGTAACTGGATTCCTAACTGCATTATGCTGAATGTTTTTCACTTGTCCGCGTGCAGACGTGCACAGAACGACAGTTCCCTCCTGCCGTTGTTGCTCAAGTATTAGATTATGCAGTGACAAGCCTGCATCCGCGCTGTCCCCAGAATGTCGGAGTTTACAGAGAAATTCAAATGTGCATGGGCAGAATCAAGACTCAGATATTAGCACTCGTACCAACTTGAGTCCGACGCTTCCTTCCAGTCCCCGGAATTGTTTTGATTGCTACAGTTGTTCGAGACCAGACTAACTGCCTGCCAATTGCGCGTCAGATCGAGTCTCTTGGTTCTTAAGCCTGTAAATTAGAAGCTGTTTTCGTGTATATATACATCGATAAAGGCTTGGTTTTCCGTCCTACTTTTCTCCGATGTTGCCCCGTTGGCCAAAAGAAAAACGAGTACATGTTTCTGGTTGACAGATTATCAATCATACTCGTGCCAGTAGTTGCATCTCAACTATGTTTCCGGTTTTTTAGTAAGTTACGGCTTTCGACATGTTTGAAGCGACTAGTTGGGCTTCTTTTACTTTTTACAAAAAACACTTCAGATGTTTTTGAGAGTCAAACATTTTCTAAAAGCATTTTCAATTGTTTTAAAGGTGCTTCCAAACGAATGAGGAACCTATCCGGATCCAAATGGTGAGGATCTTAAGGATCCTCTATCATTTGAATTTTATTATTTAAAATTATGAATTTTATTATTTAAAATTAAACATAAATATTACTTGACGAAAATTGATTGCATAATATATGATGAACGACTAAGATCCTCATCATTTGAATCTGGATGGGATCCTTATCCCTTCCAAACGAGTTCATAAAATGTTAGTTTCAAAAAAATAAAAATAAATAATAAAAAAAACACTTTGAAACTTGGAAGTGCTTTTTTCTAGAAATCCAAAAACCATTGTTACCGACTTTAGAAGCATTTTATTTTACTTTTTGCCAAAACTAGGCAAAAATACTTTTAGTTCTTGCAAAAGCAGATACAAACTTGTTACTTAACTAGTCAAATATTAAATTATTAAGAGCTAGCAGATTGTCTTGTTGCTGGCCATCTCTCCAAAATATTAAGGAGAGAATGGGATACGATTTTGCTAAAAAAATGAAACATGCAAAATAAAATAAAATCCCAATTTGAGAAGAAATTTAGTGCTTGTAAATTTGTGACATTTCATTTCCCCTTTTTTTAATTGAAAATTGTGTGGACAAGGCCCTAATTGGGCATGCCCGCCAACAGCTCAGCAGGCATGGCCAGCGTAAGCCAATGCTTCTGTTAGCCAGTGCAACAAACATTTAAGAACACATCGATATTAAGATGTCATCCAATACAATTACAGAAAATAAAACCCAGCCAACAATACCTAGTGTTTCGTTTCTTGCGATGCAAGGCACCCCAAGGGCATTGCAGAAATGTGCACCAAAACAAAACATTGAAACCCAGTTTTAAATGCAGCACCAGAACCATGGATGCCAATCATGCAATATACACTTTACACAGTTCTCTTTCAAGTCATTCTATTAGCTTTAAGCCTTTAACATAAAAAGATGGAAGGCTAGGTGGAGTTGGTAATTAAGGTTTATGCCAAAGAAAGGCGGGGGAAATGAATCCTCCTCACAATTTACAGATTTCTCTCTTTCAAATTTCTATTCTAAAACGAGGCCGGGCTCAGAAACACGACGCATTTGTAAAATACTTTTGAGTGATTAAATGAACCCATTCAGCCTGTGTAAACTAAAGACGAAAAAGCGCCAAAAGGAAAATCACCCCAAATGCCATCAAAAGCCACGTCATGGTATATAGTACCCGATATGTTTAAAGCTAGCCTAGCAAGAACCTGAATACATCGCTCAAAGAAATAATCCCTTCTACACGCTTGCTGCCAGCCTCCACGATCACAAGTCTCCTAACCCCTAAAAGATAAACAAAGGAAGCGACTTGTGAAAAAACTTGTTACTAACACAAACAAAACACAGCAAAGAAAGCTATTTGCTTGATGGCCAAGAAACTCACCAGGATTAGCCAAGCGCTCCATCACTTTATGCAAAGAATCTGACCGCAAACACATCTGACACCTCTGCCCACTGAGGAAGCAGGAAGGAGAATTCGCATCTTGTCCCAGTAGCAACGCCTACAAAATGCAGACAGGCACATTCAGTTCTCAGAGGGGTGCGCTAGAGAAATTTTTGCATCACTCATTTTGTCTTTGGATTTTGTGATTTTGTCTCCTCGTCTATACTTCCGCTACTAATAGGTTGGGTTGCATTATGCTTTTGTGTCAACTGAAACTCCAAGAGTTGTGGACTCACATATCACATAAACCTTTTGTTGCACACTGAGACTTTTAGCAATTACCTGATGGATGCTCAATTCATCAAGGCGAATCTGTGTATAAGCTTTATCTCTGGCCAAAGCAGTGATATCACTGAGGAGGATACAACAAGCACATTCAACAATTGGTCAAGGAACAAAGTAACTAGCTCTACGTAAAACTTGATGCAGATATAAATGAAATTCATTAGTTCACCTTCGTGAATAAATATCCAGCAATGAATCATTACCATCCACTATAGGTATTGAACTAACGTCAGCTGCAAAAGAAAATATAGCCACACAGAAGCATGAGTCAGGACTGACGTAAATAAAACCATCTGGCTAATTTTGGAGACAATGTGTAATAAAAACTAGGTAAGATGTGAAGCAGATAGCTAGAAAATAGAAGAAATATAACCTTGTATCAACAAAGAGAAGACATCAGCAAGAGATGAATTTGGTCTTAACATTGCCAATGGCCGTCCATTTGACTCTCCAATATTCGGAACCCATGTTCCTAAATGAAACTCAGATATAGGACATTGGAGTATGGGCAAGGAGCTAGAAGAATGTCTAAAATGCCTGCATATGCCTGAAGTTTTATTACAGATTAGTAACTAAATGTGCAAGCTTAACAATATACTAGAGAAATACATACATTTTAGTAACTAAATGTGCAAGCTTAACGATATACTAGAGAAATACATACATTTTAGTATTCCGCAGAGGGAAGCAAGGTGCAATAGTTGAGGAGATGAACCATTCTGCGAAGTTGAATGGACAATTGGAACTGTAGCCACCTTGTTTTGCAAAATTTTCAAAGCTACTTCTTTGAGAGAATCGTAAGGGCCGGCCTGTATGTCAAAACAGCACAAATATAAGCATTATCATGATTTGAAATCATGAATTTGGCTACAGTGAATCCAAGATTTATCGTAATTCAGCCCCAAAACCCACACAAAAGAATATGCAGAGTCTAACAACCCTCAGTTCATGCATATTCCATAATTCCAATTTTTGTGCATTATGAAAATTTTCATGAGCACATTGGTAGTTACTTTGCATACAAATTAAGTCATGTTTCCAAAATTATTCAAACGACAACATTTAAATGAAGTATGAAATCTTCTCCACTTGATCTTTAGCCATCGGCTTCGAAAGGTGTACAAATTTCTGAATTATATAATTGCTGAGGGTAACACTTCACTTTAAAAAAGAATGCAAATTAACATCTCATAAGGAACTTACAGAGACAAGATGGGGTGGATAGTATCTCCCATTGCCATCAAGTTGTCTGTTAAGATTTATTTTTCCCTCTTTCCACGCTGCTACAGTATGAGTCTCAAGCTCTTCCTCGGTCAAGTTGGATCCATGATTCCCAAGCTTTCATAAGAGCCATACATTTTAATAAACTGAAAATGGAACTACGAAGTGCATTCTCTCTGTGTGAATTGAAAAAACAAAGCAAATGCAAAGGACAGAAGCATCCACAAAGCAAGATAAATTTCAAGGAATAAGGATCAAGCATGCAGTCCAAGCAAGGAAAAACAGCTAATAAAATAAATTTAATTTAGCATTTCACTTTCAGAATAAAGTTTTAATAAGAACCACATTCTGAGATTGGCACCATGAAAATTCATGATCTGCGTAAATTTTCAGGGTGAGGAAGGTTATTTTGAAACAAGAAGTTTGTGATAGAGGAAACAGTATGGATGTAATGGGGAAAAAGGAAAAAGACTAAACAGTTTAAAGACTGTTTGTGTGTGCCCAGAAATCGTAACAAGTGTTGTATTACCCGTCGACAGACTCCCTCATGCACCATAAATTGACTCCGGCAAGGTTTGGAATATAGATGCAACATTAGGTATGATGGCAGGAAAGATAATACGTGTCTTTATAATATGAATGTTCAGAAACGGAAACTTCACGAGAACAACCATTAGTATGCACCTTGTAGCACATTTGAAGCTTAGAAACCTCTTAGTTACATGCGTGCCTCAAAAATTTAAAACTTTCGAACATATATATATATATTGATTGTTATTTGTATATGTATACTACTGTGTTTCATAGAGAACTAGAACAAGCATATATTAACAATAAGGAATGACAAAAGTTTTACACGGGACACACCTCTCTCAAGATTAGGATGAAGTCCATAGCACTAAGGACTCCAACAAACTGGCCCTTCTCAAAATCCCACAGAGGAGCCACAGGTACTCCCTTAAAAGGAACTTAAATTAGTAACCAAAGATATAGATAGGTACAAAATACAAATTATTACCACAGCAGAAACTGTTTAAATGGCATAAATGTCCTAGGGATTGATGTAAATTGAGCAGAGACAATCAATTCATGTAAGCTGGGGAATTCAAGCTCCCTCCCACTTTTTGTTTTGAAAGCATTTACGTGTTTGTGGAAAAGTCATTCACCTGTTCATGTAGGATATGGAATGCTTGCTTCACAGGTAAACTATTATCCAAGGCAATGACCTGTGATGTCATCACAATTGAAATAAGAATGATAATTTACCAGATCACGGTGGTCAGCTCCAATAAGCTACCTACTATAGCAGCATCAACATAAGGGTAAGCATTCAAACCTTGCCTGACTCTGGAAGCAACTCATAAGCCGTATGTCTGGACAAGAACATTGATATACGATGTCGGGAGATATCGAGATCAGCCTGTGAGAACCTAGGAACTGTTTCCTGCAATAGACCACCTTACAACATGACCTATTCTGTACTGCAAGACAACTCAAATCCTTGACTTATACAAGTGAAAAACTTACTACATTTGTAGGAACCATATCTACGTCCATGTTGGACCCACCAGAAGTCTCAGGACTGAAACTTGTAGGAACGATATCTTCTCCAGCTAGAAAGATGGTATTCACTGTTCCACCATTCGCATTAACAAAAGGCTGATGTTCATTATGTCGCCATTGGCCATCAACAAAAAATTTGTACTGCAATTGGAAACAACACATCTAATGTCAGCATGACACATACATATTGTATGATGTACCAGTGAGCGAGCACATGTACACCTTGGGTGAGAATATCTTATGGCTGCCACAGAAAGAGAGGGACACAAGATGTTATCAACACATTAGGAGCTGAACAGATTATATCTACCACCACCACAAGCATGTCAGAAATGTTATTATTATCGTTCCTTTACATACATTAAAGCATATAGGGGCGGTAAAAAAAGTAACAAATCCTAGCTCAGATTTGTAGGGGTTCAGAGGTTATATATTTTAACGATGAAGGACAAGTTTTGAAGTATCCACTTGAGCTTCATTTATTTAACAGAAATATACTTCTTCGCTTCATTCAGCGATCTAATTTGTGGTAAAAAGTCAACCCTTATGGTTCTGTTCACACTCTGCCCCTGATTACGAGGGTGATATCTATAGCCAGTACCATATTGTACAATAAAAACCTGATACCAGTGCATGCTGAACCAATCAGAGTTTCCTACATAAACAATTTTCTTCCTTAACTTTCTATCTGAATGTAACAAATGAGAAATGCCAATTTCTTACTTTTTCTGAGAATTAGACGGAACATAAGAACACCACAAACTATGTTACAGCATTCATGAATCCCGTTTCCTAATATTACATTGCTTATCCTTTATGCAAGCAAACTCAACTGAACAGTATCACATGACAATATATTCATAGCAATACCAATGATTTCAGAACTTGAAATGAGGGCAATAAGTAAGATTTAAAACTTCAGCAACTTGAACCGAGTATAATAGTGTTGATAAGTCATAAGTGTGAGAAATAAACCTGATGATATCCGGGCGTCAAATTCCAAACAACTTGAAATACAGTTGGATGCCCCTCCATTGGAGCCATAGGTATATGTTCTAACCACCTGTACATACAAAAAAAAATAAAATAAAACATAAATCCATATCACATCTTCAATGATACATTGAGCATCGTAACACGAAAAACAACTATCACTCAAATAACCAGAACTACTATTGGAAATTGATCAGTCATGGCACACCTTGTGAAAGAACCACTGAGAAACACACTCCTTCCTCCATAAGGCCAGACAAACGGATACGGAATTAAAACTGGTACGGAAAGTTTACTGCTTTGATGTGCAGGTGCAGCACCCGAACCAGACCCAAACATTTCCCACCAAATTTGATAATTAGATAAACTTACAGAAAAATCCCACAAACTGGAAAATTCAACACCTTCCCAGTTGATTATTTGCCACAAAAACCCCAATCCCACCAACCCAGTAAACTATTTTCCCCAGAATTTAAGAACCCTTTTATCAAATCCCACTTAAAGAAAACCCCACTCTCTTTTTTTTTCTTTGTTCTTGCTTGGTAATGGGGATCCTCCACAACCGAGCAGAGGACCCTCAATGCTTGCACATGCAGTGCCACCAAATCAAAACCAAAAACACAAAATTTGATATGTTTCAATCTCACCACCCTCTGATCAAATTCTAAGTCCAAAAAGTCAACAAATCGGACGGGCAGGATGAAAACCCACAAAACCCAGCTAAAAGCCAGGGGATTTTCCACAATTTGATCTCTGATCTACCCCAAGTCAAAGACTTTCCTACCAAATCCAACCTCAGAGCTCTGTTCTCTGAAGCTAGGAGGAGGAATTCGACTATTACAGTGGTTGTATTGTAATTAATGCATATTTTGGGGTGACAACAGCAAGGTACAGGAAGAAAACCCTAACATTGAAGAGAGAGAGAGAGAGAGAGAGAGAGAGAGAGCTGAGTCTGGGGGTAAGTGGCGTTGTGTATGGTTTGGATCTTCAAAAGCTGTGTGTCCTCTAAAGTGAAGAATCAAATGGAAAACATCCAAACACGACCCAAGAGAAATTAAAAGTGTAAAAGAAAAGAATTAAAATAGTTAGACTAACTTTTCTGTGTATCAAAACATGGGCGCTGAGCGTAATAATTCCACTTTAATTATAACATGTGTGTTTAGTTTCTTAACTTACCGTAAAAGTAAGACATCAATCTCATTAATCACCTGTACTATAACGCCCCAAATATACTATAGATTTTTTAATGTAATCGGTACACAAGATAGTACATCATGTGTTGCTAAATAAATGATAGGATATGTGTGCTAAAAAGTTAATAACTTAAAAAATAAAAATTTTCATCATTCCTATTAAAACATATGATGTACCACTTATGTTCTCGTCACAACTAAAAATTTCTCTAAATATACAAAACACAAAAGTGTTTTTCAGTTCACAGCCAAGAAACTCCAAATTAAGTTCAATTACAATATATATATATATATATATATATATATTATTTTATTTAGTAAAAAAAAATGGATCAAATGGTAGCTTCATGACAGTCACCAGAGGCCAAAAAGATTTACAGAGGCATTTCAACTGTTATGGTCACTATCATCCAGCACCAAGATGTTCAATTACTTTATTGGTTAATTACTTCTTTTTTTTTATGAAAGTAATGGCAAATTTCCACAACTAAAATCATTATTTAAAGGGTAGTAGTTATTTTAAGTTTCTACTTTACCTTTGTTTGTCTTTTCAGCAAAGGAGACAAAAGAATAAGATTTTTTTAATCCAAGAGAAAATGACTCTTACAGAAATTCTGGAGGAGTGGTAACAATTTTCTTATTTTTGTTTTACGATCTTATTAAGTTGCTTGATATTTGTTTGGAAATATTTTTAAAATAACTAAAAATATTTTTAGAGAAAAAAATTTGGATTCCAAAAGCACTTTAAATGCTTTATAGAAAAAGCATCAGTCATTAGTTTATTGCATGAAGCATTTTAAGTGTTTTTTCAAGCTTCACGTGTATTTTTCTAAGGATTAATTCCTAGGCCATTAAACATTGTCTTTGCAAAAATAAATAAATAAATTTCATCTAAAACATACCATATTTTTAGTTAAACACTTAATTTATGATAAAATTAATCAAATGTATTAAACGGTTTATGATTTTTTATTTTCTTTGCATAGTTAATCTGTAAAAAATGATCTAAAACATAGACGGTTCATTAAAAAAATTAAGAAGGTTGCAAGCATACCTGAAATAGTACTATATGTATTCAAGATAAATGGTTTCCATGCACCTTTTCTATTCTTCAACACATCATTACTTAAATTTCTCCATTGATTTTATTTAGTTTGTTCAATCTCACGGCACAAAATATAGTTATGTGCAACGAAAAAATAGAAGTGTGAAAATAATTTTTCGTATTGTATTTTTTGTTAATACAGTAATGATTTTCGGTTTATTTTCTTTTACTTTTTATGTAAAAAGTATGATTGACTGATGTAAGGTACTAAAGTCTAAAAGCTTACAAGAGAAAAGAATGAGCATGCATTTTGACTGGCATGCAACAAATTGTTTTGCTATTTAGGGTAAGATTCCTCGAAATTTCTTCCTTAAAACCGGTTTGTGTTTAACGATTTTATTTTAAATTTTTGCTTCTAAATAAGGCTTAAATATCAAAATAGTTTTTGCATTTTAACTTATCGGTCAATTTTGTCCCTGTATATACAATTTGGCCAAATTAATTCTTGTGTTTACCTTTGTTAACCAATTATAGACAATCCGTTAAATGACCGTTAAATTTGAGATAAGAATGTAATTCCACTGTAAACCCATTAAATGCATGTGAGATCAAATGATTGACGACGACTCCTCAAACTATTTTCGCGCCAGAAGACTCGGACATCTATCTTCTGGATTGCAAATCAAATGTCCACAAGACTATCTAGTGCGAAAATATTTTGAACCGTCATTGATTTGATCTCGCGTGCATTTATGGGTTTACAACGTAATTACATTTTTGTCTCAATTTTAACGGTTCTTTAATGAATGGTCTAAGATTGGCTAATAGAGGTAAACATATGGAATAATTTGGTCAATATGAGAACACGGTGATCAAATTGACCGATAGGGTGAAACACATGAGCCATTTGACATTTAAGCTTTTAAAAATTATTTTTAAATGATTGTTATGATAATTACCCTAAATTCACTTAAATACGAAAAAAGAAATTCAAACTTAAGTGTCAAAGGTGAAGCATTGCACACTACTTAAGCTAATTTAGTTAAACTCATATTTACACTTTTTAAAAATGGAAAATATGCCAAGTTTGAATCACCTTCTCAGTAATTAAAAATTTTAAAATAATTTGCTTTCATATTAAGTAACTTGTTTTCTTAAATGATAAATAGTAAAGTTTGATTTTTTTTTTTTTAGATATTAAATTGTAAAAAAAATTAAAATTAAAATTCCCTCAAAATTGCACCTTGCCAAGTGCTTGAAGACATTTTTAGTATGCCAATAAAAGACAAACCACACATTAAATTTCTTTCAAAAAACATATATAAATTTGCACAAAAACTGCTAAAATTATACATGCTAGTTCACATATTTAATAAAGGGATGTGTCATTCACACACCCATTTTTATTTCTCATACGTCTTTTTAATTTTCGATCGTTGATTGGATGAATTGAAGAAGATTAAATGACATAAATTAACAAGAAGTGTATAAGAAGTAAAAAATAATACTTAAATAGCACACTCCTATTAATAGAGTGAAAGTAACATAAAAAATGGGGCAGTGGGCACCAAAGAATCTTTGGCTTGTCAATTGTTCTTTTATTTTCGTCCTCATAATAATAAAAGAAAAATAATATAACGACGCTATTTTATCTTCTATTACACATTTTTATTTATTTGATCATCTATTTAAATAAGTCAAACATTAACCAGAACATAATTAAACATAAATGTGAGCTGAAAGAAAAAATTCCGTGTAATTATTATTTATAAAAAAAAAGTGATGTAAAAGAAAACAAAAATTTTACCCCAGAAAAAAAATAAAATGAAAAATAAAAAAGACAAAAGGGCAAGGACCGATCGAAAAATGAAAAAGTTTGATGGGCTGGGTATTAGATTAACAGAATTTGACGATCATGATTTGCTGCGTTAATTGGACCCCACGGAATCACATCACATCAATGTTGGGCCCACAACTGCCCATGAGTCCCAGTCAACTTCCGCCACCATGGGAAGAGAGAGAGAGTTTTACCACTATTTACCTCAGTAAATAACGAGTAAGGATTCACGTCAAATCATTTTTGTCATATCTGTTCATCGTACATCGTGTGATCAATTTTTATCAGATACTGTTTATATTCAATTGCAAATAAAAAAAAATTTCAATGATTTTTTATTGCACGATGTACGATGAACATATATAATTGGAGGATTCCCATGATCCTCATAAAGAGGATCCGGCGAGAATCCTTTTGAGTAAATAATATCCTTTATGCGGGTTACCAATGGGCTTGTAACACATTTTCATCTATTTTTTGGACTGTGCTATCCATACACTAATTTTTATTTTTCATTTTTCATTTATTTGTTTATTATTTTTTGTCATTTTATTGTTATTTTTTAATTTATTTGATTGAAGACTAAAAATTAGGAGTGTGCGAAAAATAATATAGGTGCATGAATAACCAGTTATTTTTTTTTAAATAAATTTTATACTTTATGAGAAATACTTCCACTAATATGTGCTTTATTTTTCTTCGCCCTTATATGAATTTTAGATTGCTTTTAGTAAAATTCATCGACACATATGTGATAACTAATCAGTTTGGAAAAGACAGAATGAAGAATAATCGAACTCCAACGTGAAGAAAGTGTAAAAGTTCAGTAAATTTGGATCAAAACAAATATTGGTTCAATCTCATCATATATTGGCATACTCAGAAGGGGACATTTTATAGTGGTAATTCGGATTTGAATGTAGAGATTTTGTGACTGTCGGTGGCCGTGTTTGCTTTATATTTGTAGATGCATGTGCGTCCTATTGGCTTGATATGGCAATAAGGTGGTTCATATTTTCAACGTGCAACTCGTTTATTCATGAGAAAGTGTCAAAACCTTTATTTCTAATCATCGTTTTTTATAACGGCGACAATCCACTCTTTCAATGCACAAACTCATTTATTTAAAAAAAAAAAAAAAACTTTATTTCTAATGGTAACGACATCTGCGCCCCATCGTTTTTTTGATAATTTCAATAGACAATTCGCATTTTATAGGCACAATTCGTTTACCAAATAAAAAAGGCCAAAAGCTTTATTTCTAACCGTTAAATGCATTTGTGTCCCATTGTTTTTTATAATGTCAATAGGCAATCCATCATTTCAATACGCAACTCGTTTATCAACTAAAAATTGTCAAGAGATAATCTACAGTTTCAACGTGTTAACACTCAAAATTTGGATATCAACAAAGACAATCATGGTCAACCCTTGATGGGCTTGGGATAAAGGCTTTAAGTAATTGACAGCAAGGTTTAAGTGGTTCCCCCTAGAAAATGGGCTACCTCCACTATAATGCTTTATATAAATTGATATGGATTACAAAAAAGGGCTATGTAATTGTGTAACCTTTCTTTTCTTTTCTGTGTCTAACCCCTTGTACAGTGTACTCGTCCATCTTATATAGATCTACAATGAGCCCCGAATGTCCTGGGCTCTCAAGTACTTAACTGCTCTACCATCAAAAGAACTAATCATGTAGACAAAAATTTCCAGCTACCCTTTTGTCCTTTAGTCGACACGTGGAGATGAAGTGACATTCGCTCAGGTTTAGTTGAAAATTTTTTGATCCAACATCTACTCTGCTCGGCCTTGACGGGTCAAAGAAGCACCATCCCAAGCACTTGGTCTAACAACCTTTATATCTCATTGTAGGCCTCTGTCCTGGTTGATGACCAAGACGTGGCTTGGGTTGGTGTTTGAGTAGGCGTGTCTCTGGGCCTTCATGCTGTAAAGTTGTCAATTTGCCACAAGCAATCGAAAAGTACTTTCTTGATTGGTGCTCGGCTTCTTTGCTGATAGTCAATCCAGACCGGTAAACTGTCGTCCATAGAGATCGTGCCTCCTTCCTTTGGCTCTATTGGGCTGGCTTATAAGCCCAATGCCTTGGTCTTCTTTTTCTTTTTTGGGCCTTCTCCAAGCCTATATTATTTTAGAGTCTAAAAGGACCATGCGTTAACACAACACACAACTCGTTTATCAACTAGAATGTGCCAAATTTTTTATATGAATGACTTATCAGTGAAGTCCAAATGAAAAATATAACAACATCGTGTTCAGACGACCAGATTACACGACCTTCCCGCCTAAGAAACAAAACCACCCCAGCCTCCCTTTTATGCCCTATTAAATGTGTCTTCTACCGGATGACCATGTTGTTTCGTCACCCGAACCGAACAATCTCTCCCCTTTAGAGATGCTTTCAACGAGTATATTCCACTCCCTATACCAAACCAACTTTGAATGGTTGGAACTTGTCAAAGCTGGCTGCTGGACAAAGTCATAAGCGCAGCACGAAGCACGGTGCTTCCCCGTAACTCATAAGCTGAAATTGGATAAGCAAAAACATGGAATCAAGCCAGCACGGCAGCACTTGGAGCTCTGTGCATAGAGAGAAATAAGGAAAAAAGTTAAAAGCTCCCTCTCAACTTTTAACTTTTTAACTTTTACCGAACGCAGTGCAAAGACTTGATTGCGTACTGCCTCAGATTGGTCTTTTTTCTTCCGAGTGATTTGGTCTGGTGGGTAGACGACAAGAGAGACCCCCTCTTTCCATATCAAGAGATTCTTACTCTACAAAGATGCTTTTACTTTCTCAGGTTAATGTCACATCGGAAGTAATTAGTGAAGTTAATGGTCGGTTTTTGTTGCATTTTATCAACGGCGTTTACTTACGGGCATGATTAGGCTTAATTAATTCAACATCATATGGTGAGTGCAAAAGGACTTGTAGCTTGTGTGGTTAAAAGTTTTATACGTACAGTCAAGGGGTTGTGTCTTCGAATCATTCTTTTCCAATACCAGTCGGATCACAAAAGTAGAAAGAAAATTGGAAAGTGTGTTTGGTGTCAAGAAAATTTACATGCAATCGGGATACTCAGATAAGGGTATATTCTAAGCTTATAATACGTGGTCAAGTGTCTTAACTTCTTCACATGACATTCAATTCTAAGTTTGAAATTCCGCTAACTTAACTCCTCGGTTATATAGCCAACTTAACATGGGCTTCCCTATAGATTTTTTTTATGCTTTTACATGCAATTCCTTTGTAATATTACACCTACAGGAAAAAACTTCAAACTCAATATTTTACAAGAAAATCCAACTTATTGTGTAACTCCGAAGAAATTTCACAACTAAGAATCAATCAGAGTATGACAAGTGGATATGTCGGGGAATTTGCCTTAAAGTCATATTGGGCTTTTGTTCTTTTGAATGGGCTTATGCCTTAAAGTCATGTTGAGCCGCGGGCTTCGTTGAAGAGGCCTTTTAAAAGACAAATCCGCTCAAAATATAGGCGGGAAAGAGTGAAGCTCCATTTGTACAAGTCCAAAAGAAACGACATATCGTTCGTATATTCCGAACAAGATAAGGATACTTGCCGGATACTTTTTCTGGGATCTAAAGATCCTATCATCGTAATCTCGTATATTGTGCGATCAATTTTCATTAAATACTATTTATATTTAATTTTAAATTTTAAATAATTTCTGACTTACGAGATCTCCAGATCTCGGGAAAAACTCCTCGCCGGATCATTTTCCGAACAGAACACCCTTTTCTCTGTATCTCTTTCCTCTATGTAACTTTCTGCCATCAACTGAGCCAGGGTTTCCGAGTTGCCGTGGCTCGACTCACCGAGCCAGGTGGATCTTCACTCCCGGAGAACTGGTAATTCATCTCCATATTTTCACTCTTCTTTGCACTTCTGATTTTTGTATTCAGCGAGGGCCTGTTTGGCTGCCGAGAAAATGAAGGAAAATTGAGTTTCTAACTTCTAGGTTAATTATTGCCACCGTTGTTTTTGGTTTCGATTGTTCCTGAAAGTGAACTGTTGCTTTTAGTTTCGTGCTGTTGAATTGGTGCCCAACTTATAAATTGGAGCAACTTGGATGAATTTAAATGGAGAAATTTGTTTGAGTTGGGATTTCAATATTTCCAAGGGTTGAAGTTGAATCGAAATGTCGTATGCTTTTTTTTATTTGATTTGATATTCAATGCTATAGGCTGGTAAATACAAGGCTGCTAATCAAGGAGCAATGCAAACATTGGAGAAGGTACGTATGGAGTCTTGCTTTCGTTGGGAGTGTGTTTATAGACCGGTATAAGTCGTTGCAAGTGAGTTTTCGTTTAATCGAAGCGTGTCATTGATATTCTTCATTCGAATGTCGTTTATAGCTGTTTGTTTCACTTATTTGTTGGTATGAGAGCGTATGTACTAATGCATCGAGTGTACCTTATTAGATAGTTCAAGGAGATGTTTACTAGCTCAGGTGACTGGCAGAGGATGTGTTGATTGAAATTAGGGCAATGTCTCAAATTATTGGTTTAAAGATATCATTTTACCTTTCGACTAATGAATTTGTTTTTGTATGTCATTTGTAGTATTTCTTGTCGAAGATGTTCACATTTTGTCCCATAGGAAAAGAGTTATTTTTCTGCAAATTGGCTTGAATTACTTTCAATTTTTCTAACGAATAATTTCTTGTGAAGTATGGAGCAACACTAATGGAAGTAGACGTTGATGGAACATTGTCATACCCTAAACCCCAAGTTAATGGTAATGTTCTTTCAAGGACCCCCTCCCTCCCTCCCTCCCCTCCCCCCGCCTTTAAACACACACAGAGGTGGTTTTCAATGGCTTTACTTTTTTGATGTCTTTAAATACAGCCGATTCCCATCCAAAACCCATTAGCGTTGAAGAGGAGCAATTTATGCGAGTATTTTATGAGAATAAACTTCAAGAAGTTTGTACCAACTTTCACTTTCAGCATACAGTTCAGGCATGTGGTCTCCCCTGTTGACAGAAGAAAAAATAGTAATACTAATTTAGGAAGCATGAAACTAGAAGAATTTATCAATTTTAGCATTATCCATGTCTAATTGGTTTCATCAGCAGGCAACGGCTCTCATATTTCAAGAGGTTTTATCTACAGTGGTCGGTGATGCAACATCATCCAAAAAATATAATGTAAGGATGCCTTATCTCCATCAATTATCAGCATATGTGATTGTGTGAAATTTTGGTTCTTCTAGGTAGAAGTTCACTAAGATGTTGAGACATGTGCAGAGGTTGACCTGTATATATGCAGCTTGTAAAATAGAGGAAAACCACGTATCAACAGAGGAGCTTGGTAAAGGAATCTCACAGGATCATCAAATGATACTCAATAATGAGATAATAATTTATAAGGCATGTTTGTGCTACACATTTCTTTGTTGTTTTTATTTATTTATTTTTATTTTTTCTGTTTTCTTTGTTAAATATAATATCTTTATTTTGCAGACTTTGGAATTTGATCTTCTTGTTTATGCATCATACCGCTCAATTGAAGGATTTGTCAATGATATGGAAGTAAAGTTTCTTATGGTTTTCTCTAGTGCAACTGTAATATATATTTTTTTTCATAATGCACTTTTAAGTTTTCAAGTTCCTTCCACACGCTTGGTGACAATTAGTGTTGATTTCTAGGAATTCTGCGGATTAGAGGATAACCAGCTCCAATATCTGGAAGGTAATTGTTGGCTTTATTTTAATTGTATATATGGCTAAATAGCGTGTTGAGTAACTGTCTATGCACAGACTGAATCTTTAGAAGTCTTTCGTTGTTGAGATGCTGCTATCATTTATGTTTCTTAACCGGCAACGTATATGCTGATGGATGTTTTGTAGAAATTGCAGGAGCAGCAAAGACGGAAGTTGATAAAATCATGCTCACAGATGTACCACTCCTTTTCCCTCCTGGGCAGGTATGAATATGATTTGTCAGTCAAACTTCTTGCTGTTCAAGCTCAGAATTTTGTCATTAATCGTGAAACATGCCCCCTTAATTTGATGCAGTTGCCATTGGCTGCTTTGCGTAGTGCAAATCAGGTTTGCAGAGTTGCCGACTTTGAGAGGTTATCATTTGAACTTTAGGTTTCCTAACATTTTTGTTAAGTTTTTTTTGTTCCTGTATAGTTCTACTTATGCCTCCCCCACACCTTCTGTATTGGGTTTGTTGTTGTACTAACACTAATAAATCTTCTTTCATGTATGCTCATTTTCAGATACCTGAGTAGCATTCTCTCTCGGCAGAGTTCTGCGCATACTATCTCAGAGCTAGTCGAATTCCTTAATGCAATCGATTCTTGGGTATAAATTCATTGCAATCAGCATATATGTGTGTTGCAAACTCCATAGCCTCTTTGATAGCAGCACAAACGTTTGTACAAATTGTATATCATATAGCTATGTTATTAAGTTCAGATTTTTAAGAATTTAATCTGATATTACATAGGAACGCTTCTTTTTGGTTTCATTTTCCAATCTAAGTTTCTTCATGGCTAATGTATGTAGGCAAAAAAATAACAAGGATCTCAAGCACATCAATCGGAAACTGAAGTCTTGTTGGGGTCTGAGTACGCATGACGAGTATGCTCCACATCTAGAAATAATCACGCTTAATCTGTTGCCCTTTTCCTTTTGTATCAATGCCATACATTGACTGCTTTTCAGGAGCAAGAAGCGGGATAAGAAATCAAAGCACAAGTCGAAGGGGGGTTCAAATGAAGCGCAAACTTAAAAGTATGCCTCTTTTCTTTACTGTTGTTTTAACTTAAGTACTACTGCGGGTTTGGCTACGGTTTGGTGGCTTAGTTTTGTAATACCAGCAGTTATTCCATTTTGCTGCATCATGAAATTTGATCTTATCTCGGTTTTCTGGGTAATTTCATGTTCTTGTCCGCCCCTTTGGGTTTGTCACGCACATGTAGTTTGATACACTGCTGCTGCTGGAGTTTAAACAGTTGGAGATACTCAAATATTCGTTTGGCTGTGCTTTTAAAATGACTGAAAGCGCTTTTAGAGAAATTGTTTTTGAATTCCAAAACCACTTGAAGTGCTTTCTATAAGAAGCACCAGTTATGTGCTTCTTTCAGGAAGCACTTTAATTGCTTTTACAAGATTTACTAGCATTTTTACTAAAGATTGTTTCCAAAAATATTTTCACCAAAAGCGTTTTTAATCATATTAAAAGTACATCCAAATGAGCTACTCATTGTGCTTACCCTTCGTCTGGTTTCAGGTTAATTTACCTCGATCGATCCTTCCAAGCAATCATCGATTTATCGAAGAAGAGACATTTTACCCCTGCTCTAACTACCGTAATCTTTTCATTTCTTTGATATTTTCGTTTCTACTTAATCGTCAAATCAATCCAATTTATGACTTGGAGTTTGAATGGGATGAAGAATTTATCTGAGAGACCCATCTTTATTGTACAGTAGTAAAAACCATCTTCCATTATATGTTTTCAGTAAAGATTGCAATTTTTGGTAACGGCCCTTAGGGACTAATGAATTCACAAACTACTCGAATCGGTGGCTAGACTAACGATCTGTTTGATAATCATTTTGTTTTCCGTTTGTTATTTTCATTTTTTTTGAATCTGCAAACTTGTTTGGTAGTTTCTTTTAGTTTTCAGAAAAATGGAAAGTAAAAATTGAAAAACTAAATTTTTGAAAAATAAAAAACGTAGCTTTAGTTGAAAAGAGGAAAGTAGTTATCCAAGAAGGGTTTTTTTTTTTTTTTTTTTTTAAAGGAAGTTTTAACAAAACACTTTCGATACTGTTCACTTTTAATGAAAAACTATATGTTTACCTTTCATTAGTACTATTCACAACACATTTATTTGTCATTTTTTATTAAAACTAAAGCTTTTTTGGACTCTTCATTGAAACAAAAAATGAAATTGAAAACAAAACTGTTATCAAACCGGTTTAGGGTTGAAAGTACTGGATTTAAGAGTTATAGTATACGTACCACTGAGAGAATGAATACGTACACGTGTTGTATCGAAGTTCGTATTTTGGGCTTACAGTTTAGTATGGGCCTCCAAGCATCACCAACCCAATTGAACCGGGTCCAGCATTGAATTGGGTCGGGTCGGGTTTGGGTATGTGGAAGACATTGTTGCTCCTGAGACAGACAACACGACCCCGACAAATAGAAACGACGCCGTCCAACGTTTCATCTCCTTGTTACTGGCCTCTGCTAAACCCTGAGAAGCAGAAAGAAAGAGATTCAAAAGTCGAAAGCTTCAATGGCGTGCCTTGTCTCGACGACCCTCTCTCTCCCTCTCTCTGCTTCCCATAGCTTTGAAAAGGTAAGTCCTCAATCACCCAGCTCTCCTTCTACATAAAAACCCTAGCTTTTGTTCTTCAATTTTCTCTCAACCACCCAAAAATGTTGTCTTTATTTTCTCGGAAACCAAACAGGAAGTAAGAGCTCTCATGCATATATCATTACTGTAAAATGTTGAATGTGGTATTTATTAATGCTTTTTTATTTGTTATTGCAACCAAACAGGGAACAGCTCCAAGAAGATTATCACTTGTGGTCAGACTTTCAAGCCAACCAATTTCAGAAACAGGTTTTATTCTTCAATCTCCTTTCTCAATTTCCGGTTAAGTTATTATCCTGTTTAATTTTCAGTCATATTCGAAATCCGCTTTGAGTTGGATTTCATTCAGAAGAACTCATGGTTGTCCAAAGAAATTTGCTTAAAATTGCGTTAAAATGTTCAACCTGTGTTTTCGTAACCAATTATGCGTGATCACTGATTCGTGCTAGTAATGTATGAAACTTATACCGTGCTTGATCTTTACCTCGTCCAGAAATTTGGTTTGCTAATAGCTGAAACCAGGGCTACCTTGTAATTGTGGTACTAAACCCAATTCGTATGTTTTGAATGAGTTTTTTCATAGTGGAATGAATCAATCAATTCTAGTGTTGGATTCTGGTCACTCGGCGTGTCCACGGTATTTGTTGTCTTATAAATATCAAAAGAAAAAGCTTATTGTGGCATCTTTAGCGGAAGTAATTGTACAACCTTGAGTTTTTATGTTGCTTCAGAGGGTGGAGAGAAGAAAAAGATCATAGAAAGAGATGGACGGAACAAAAAACGTAAAATATATAATTCACTCGTAGACATTTACAAACCAAGGTTTATGCAAGGCAAGAAACCTGATATTCATCAAACTGTTTCCTACATTCTAGAGAGTCTGAAACTTGATATTCTATTGAATCTATTTCTTCATCGAGGGCTTAATGGTCTGTTTTCTAGAGGACGATGAAATACAATGATCTTCATCAGCATTCATCATTATGTTCAAATTGTACATAAGCATGCTGAGTTTTCAGGAAGTTAGTGTTTCGTTTGATAGTATGTTAACTTAATACAACATACTAGGAAAGAAAAGAAAATTATTTAAAAAGGAGAGAGAATGCGGAAAATAAAAAGAAAAAGAAGAAAAGGTTTCTTCTTCGAAACTTCAATGGCGTTCTATTTTGTTCATGCTAAACTGTCAAGCCTATCAAGATGTTAAGCCTTAGGGCATTTGCATTGAACCCTCATACATTATTGTTCCTCGCTCTGTTTAAGCTAACTGTATGAATTACCTTTGCAGCTGCAAAGCCTTCCGCCTCCAGCAGTACAAATAAAGCCATGTCAACTTCGAATCGGAGTTGTCAAGATCATCTTCGGACACCCTCAAAACTTCTTTTTGAAATTATGTCTTGTTATAGGAATGTACACTCTTGTAGCCACACGATCATATTTGGTTATTGGGTTGGACCTGATATTGATGATGGTTGGGGCTATGTGGAAGCTTTTGTTAATCCAATCACTTGAGTACTTTTCGCTATTCCATGTTTTCTCTCATCGTATTCTGGGATATTTCACAGATTCATTCAAGAAACAGTTCTTATGTGTTAGCAACGGCCAAAATGTTGATGAAAACGCGTAAAAATTGTTCGATTTTTCATATGTGAGGCTCAAAAACCAGGAAGGCACATAAGAGCAAATGTTGGCCGGAATCGTGTGGGAAGCTGGTGTAGGCTGCTGCCTCAGAAACAGTCTGATGTTGTTATGCTGTTTCTCAAAACTTGACATTGTATTTTTGGAGTGAATTAACAATGTTTTATGGATCATTCATTAATAGGCAAGCAATGGACCATTGCGGTTTGATTAATCCTAACAACATAAATGCAGCTTTCGAAATGTCTCTTATTTAGGACAGACTGCACGTTAACTCTAATTTGTTCACCTTTTTCTTGCGTAAAATCGAGCAGCTGCAACTCACATGGATAACCCCTAAACCGTTTTATACACGGCCCTCCTCTCGCTTTGCGCTCCTAAACAATCTCAGAGTTGGTGTACACCAAAGAGGAAAGAAGACAAACTAAGAAATGGCCTCAAAACTCATTCATCAGTTAAATCAAGACAAATGAGCACTGGCCCTTTTTGAGATTGAGCTTCGAACAAGGTTACTTGAGTCCACAAATTCATGCAATTGTGAAATGACAACAAATGCATTGAGGACTGATCCTTTTAGAAGTGATTGGGCATCAAACTTCAATGAGAATTCATTGTCGCCAATATGTCTTCTGATATTGTAATTTATTTAGAAGGTTTACGAGTAAAACAATGGCATAGTATGTTGTTACTGGGATTTTTATTCCTTTAATTTACCAAAAGAGTTCATATATGAACTTCTTTAATGATATGGTGAGACAAATGAGAGAGTCTGTGATGGTTGATGAGTGGTCCCCTAGCCATATGACCTCATAACCAGAAACCCTAGGGAGCATGTTGAGCCCTAACTCTGACAGCTTCTAATCTTTTACTGGAAGTTTACCCTAATACATAATTCCAGAAGCATATATTAAATTATATTAAGCATGCTTGAGATTCTATTGGACTACTTTAATTTCACGGTAACTCATGTTATCTAAAGCCACAAAAGATTAGTGGTCCTAATCTAGGGTTAAGAGCAAACCCTGTACCTACTACTGCATAGCTGCATTGTAAATTCAGTATACTTGTATTGGATTCTTAATGACTAATTTGCTATTGTGTATATATGAAAAAAGCTTCACTTTGATATTATTTAGGTTTTGTACCATTTCGTTTTTTGTTTTTGATTTTTGATTTTTTTTGTTTGAGATATAAAGAAAGTATATGCATACGGTGAAAATGAGATAAGAGTGATGGGAGAGAAGAGAAGAAATAGATAAGAAAGTGAAAACAACATACAATAGTTTTTGGTTTTTGGGGTTTTGTTTTCATTTTGTATCTCATTCCTTATCTATTTCTTCTACATCTCTCTCATATATATCATCCTTCTTCATCGTTTAGTTTTATGTATTTCCAAAAGTGAAAATAAAAAACAAAAAACAAATGATTATCAAACAGGCCTTTAGTTTTGTAGATATGTTCGGTTGTGGACATGCTAGTTATTCAGTTCAAGTTCTTGATATCATCAAAACATGCATAATCAGCCTGTAAATATTTGGCATTGTTTACAGACAAGTAAACTGTAATTGCAAATCTCCAAGAACACCTATATATGGTTTAGGAGGAAATTTATAAGATAGATAAGGGCATGAGATCAGTTCAATTTATAATATTAGTTATGGAGGAAATTTACAAGGCTTCATTTGGATGTATAATTCCAAAGAAAGAATTTGGATGACAAAAGATAATTTGATACAAAAACTAGAGAAAACATTAAATTAAATTTGAAAATATATAACTAGATGTAATAAACATTTGAAAGATTTTAAATCATTTGAAATCTACTTTAATTATTCTTTGTTTTTACCGTTCTTTCTTCTGTCAAAATCTATGAATTGTAAGAGTATAAACAAACAATTTTACCTCATAATGCTGTCTAAATCCTTAGATCTGAAGTCATTTTGTCCAAATTAGCACTAACAAATGAATTAAAAGAAAGAGCAGAAATTCTTAATCCCAATCATATACGTACGTACGTATGGCTCAGGTATTTGTTTTTTCTTTTTCAGATTGATAAACAGGTCAGATTTAATGAAGAGAAAATCGAATAGGATTTTTTTTTCAGTACCCTTATGGTTTGACACAGTTTCATCATCTGATTACTTCTTCTGAAACCCTTAATACATAGTTAAACGCAACTCCGTTATATATTTTTTCTCATTATCCAAAACCCACTCTCTCCTTAACTAAGAAAAAAAGGAAAGAAACTAAAACGGAAAACACATGAAGATTGAAGAGATCGAATAGATGAAAGCATGAATATTTGAGTAGAAAGTTACATGACGTTAACTTAATTTACCTCAGAATAGCAAGTAAATTAAGTCAGTAGATACCTAACCTGATAGTCCACTGACAGCAGAAGTGCAGGCATATCGAATGCCGGCCAAACTCAAACTGTCAAACATAGAGAGAGGTATGATGAAAAATCTGACCTAAAAGATCATCTGAAAACTTTTAAGTTTCAGATGAAAATTTATTTGGTTCCAGATCCCATCGTTAATGCATTCTTGATCAAGATCATGGCTTGGTAATAAGGGAGTTGTCACCTTTCTCAAGCACCCGAAACTCCAGATTTGAAGTCTGAGTTTGCTCCCTTACTTGCAGGCCTCCATGACTGGCAATATTTGCTGTGTTTTGGTTGTTGTTAGCAGCAGCTTTGTCTCTTTCAGCTTCCCTATATTTATGCAAGTACCTCATGGCAGCCTGGGCATAGTTATCAAACCCTAGAGCACTCAGAGCCCAACAGATGTCGTCTCCATTGACGGTCTTGCGATTCTCCTTGTGACACTTGTCAGAAGCCTCGCCAGTCACAAAACTTAGGAACTCAGTTGCACATTCTTGCATTGTTTGTTTCGCCTCCTTGGAAATTTTGGCTCTTGGGGGAAGAATTTGCTTCATGATTCGACCCACGTTTGCAATTGGGAGCATCCCATCTTGTTCCTGATCAACCATGTTGATTGATCGATCCATACAATTAGATTTTGGAGGAGTTAATTGATCTCTTCTGACACAGACACGTTGCTCTGTATCAATACGCACACTTATATTTTTATATATAGATGTTTACATATATATATGTGTATGTATATGTACGTATGTGTCGACATCACAAATCATGCTACTAGTATTAATTAACTCTGTAAATGTTTTAGTATTTGATGATACGTGCCCTAGCTATTCTATAAAATAAAAATATTCATTTGTTTTAACTACTTATCAAAATAAATTTTGAAATTTAAGTGAATTGTTACTAACAAATTCCAACTTGTCCAAATATTATGATGGTCAAACTAAAGCTTAAGATGACCTTTAGAGCAATTCCACCAATTCAAAGGGCAAAAGCAAGGGCTTCCCAATTGCCCTTTACCTCAAAAACCACCTCTAGTGGGCAAAAAGGAGGGAAATTGGTGGGACACGCTAAACCCACCCAATTGCCCATGCAATTTAACGTCAGCCATTTATCTCTTTTTTTAGTGTTTGACGCGTGTATTACACGTAGGCCTGACAAACGGGTCGTGTCTGTCGTGTTCGTGTCGTTTTCGTGTAACACATGTTATTTTAACGGGTCGTGTCGTGTCACACCCGTTATGACCCGTTAAGAAAAATATATATTTTTTTACAATTTGCACATACCACACATTGCGACATAAATATTACTTGAAAACATTAAAACATTTCTCGTTCAAGTACTATATCTACACTCGAAAATGAAAGCCTAATAAAAAAAATAATACATACACTACTAATCTATTACAAATATTAAATGTGCAAGGATAAAGAGTTTTTGTTTTTAAGATTGTAAGTCTTTCTTAAAAGTTTACACCTCCATTTATAAAATCTTCAATTTACATCGAACATCATGAAATTCCACTAGTGTAAATATTTTAAATTGAAGATCAAATTCATTCTTTGTATTCATATAGGGTCAATGAGTGTAGCTGTTAAAATTCATCAAAATCGGAGTTAAAATAACCGTTAAATCTTGATTTTTCGTTTATAACCGTCGAAAAGCTTTGTCCCGTTACTTGATCTCTGAATGTTTTTTTTTTTGTGATTTTTTGCTGATGTGATCTCCAAGCATATACAAACAATTTTGACGGTTTGGATCGTTGAAATTAGTTTTGGAGAATTCGTAAAACGATAGATTGACTAACACTTAGAGTTTATTTATACTTTTATTAAGTATAACATAAGATTTTGTGGTATCCACTTGTGTAAATATTTTAAATTGAAGATCGAATTCATTCATTGTATTCATATAGGGTCAAGGAGTGTAGTTATAAAAAATTATCAAAATCGGAGTTAAAATAACCGTTAAATCTTGATTTTTCGTTTATAACCGTCGAAAAGCTTTGTCCCGTTACTTGATCTCTGAATGTTTTTTTTTTTGTGATTTTTTGCTGATGTGATCTCCAAGCATATACAAACAATTTTGACGGTTTGGATCGTTGAAATTAGTTTTGGAGAATTCGTAAAACGATAGATTGACTAACACTTAGAGTTTATTTATACGTTTATTAAGTATAACATAAGATTTTGTGGTATCCACTTGTGTAAATATTTTAAATTGAAGATCGAATTCATTCATTGTATTCATATAGGGTCAATGAGTGTAGTTATAAAAAATCATCAAAATCGGAGTTAAAATAACCGTTAAATCGTGATTTTTCGTTTATAACCGTTGAAAAGCTTTGTCCCGTTACTTGATCTTTGAATGTTTTTTTTTTGTGATTTTTTGCTGATGTGATCTCCAAGAATATACAAACAATTTTGACGGTTTGGATCGTTGAAATTAGTTTTGGAGAATTCGTAAAACGATAGATTGACTAACACTTAGAGTTTATTTATACTTTTATTAAGTATAACATAAGATTTTGTGGTATCCACTTGTGTAAATATTTTAAATTGAAGATCGAATTCATTCATTGTATTCATATAGGGTCAAGGAGTGTAGTTATAAAAAATCATCAAAATCGGAGTTAAAATAACCGTTAAATCGTGATTTTTCGTTTATAACCGTTGAAAAGCTTTGTCCCGTTACTTGATCTTTGAATGTTTTTTTTTTGTGATTTTTTGCTGATGTGATCTCCAAGCATATACAAACAATTTTGACGGTTTGGATCGTTGAAATTAGTTTTGGAGAATTCGTAAAACGATAGATTGACTAACACTTAGAGTTTATTTATACTTTTATTAAGTATAACATAAGATTTTGTGGTATCCACTTGTGTAAATATTTTAAATTGAAGATCGAATTCATTCATTGTATTCATATAGGGTCAAGGAGTGTAGTTATAAAAAATCATCAAAATCGGAGTTAAAATAACCGTTAAATCTTGATTTTTCGTTTATAACCGTTGAAAAGCTTTGTCCCGTTATTTGATCTTTGAATGTTTTTTTTTTGTGATTTTTTGCTGATGTGATCTCCAAGCATATACAAACAATTTTGACGGTTTGGATCTTTGAAATTAGTTTTGGAGAATTCGTAAAACGATAGATTGACTAACACTTAGAGTTTATTTATACTTTTATTAAGTATAACATAAGATTTTGTGGTATCCACTTGTGTAAATATTTTAAATTGAAGATCGAATTCATTCATTGTATTCATATAGGGTCAAGGAGTGTAGTTATAAAAAATCATCAAAATCGGAGTAAAAATAACCGTTAAATCGTGATTTTTCGTTTATAACCGTTGAAAAACTTTGTTCCGTTACTTGACCTCTGAATGTTTTTTTTTTGTGATTTTTTGCTGATGTGATCTCCAAGCATATACAAACAATTTTGACGGTTTGGATCGTTGAAATTAGTTTTGGAGAATTCGTATGCCATCAATCAAGTTCCGTGTGTGTGTGTGTATATATATATATTTATTAAGTAGATTTAAATCTATTTATTTTGTACGTATAAATTATAATTGACTGGTACATGAAATAGTACATACATCACGTGTCACGTGTTCATTATAAAAATAGTGAGATATGTCATGACAGTCGTGTGTGTGATAAAAAGTTAATAACTTAAAAAAAAAAAAAAAAATTTCTCACCACTTCTATTAATTTTCATTTTTCCCTCTCTTTTTTGTTTCCTTTTCAACTTTTTCTTATCATTTTCACTTTTCCCTCCAACATCTTTCCCTAATTCCCTCACTTTTTTGTTTAATTTTCAACTTTTCTTAACATTTTCATTTTCCCTCCATTTTTTTTTTCAAAAAGGGCGGCAAGTTGGCAAATGCATGATCATGCATATTAAATTATTAATTAATATGCATTATAGTTTTTATAAAATTTAATATATATATATATATATAATTAGTATAGATAGACTTAATATTTTGGGGGTATAATTATTATAGTATATATAATTATTATAATTATTATAAATTTTATAGTTAATTTAATATATATATATATATTTATTATAATTTTTAGGGGTATAAAATTGTAAATTAATGTATATAATTATTACAGTATTTTTTTAGGGTTATAAAATTATAAAAATAATATTCTGCTTATCGTGTATCGTGTTTACCCACGTGTATACCCGACCCAACCCGTTATCTTAACAGGTGCTTATCGGGTTACCCGATAAGACCCGATTCGTTATCGTGTCGACCCAAACACCTGTTAATTTCGTGTCGTGTCGTGTCGGGTTATCGGGTCGTGTCAGAAATTGCCAGGCCTAATTACACGTGTAAGGAAGAAGAGTGGTCGACATTATATGTTGTCGTAGGCCCCATTGCAGCAGCTCCAACAAAAGAGCCAAACGACTTTATGACGTGTCGTGATGAGAGCCTGTGGATTTCAACAACTTGTTGATATGGACCGTTGGAAAAAATTCAAAAAATTTATTGGTGTGCCACATGGCATGTTCTGATGCATCTGATTACGAATGAGTAGAGAAATCAACTGCCAAGATTAATCCAATGGTTATAAAATAGAAAGAAAAAAAATAGGGATTTTTTTTATATTCTATAAATACCCAACTATCTTCTTCATTCCCCACACCACACCATACCACAACTCAATATTTATTTTTACTAAAATCTCCTATATTTGTTTTCCACTTTCTAAATCCTCTTTTTCCCAAAAAAAAAAAAAAAAAAAAAAGAATGAGAAGGCAAATTGGTCGATCAAAGAAGACGTTGCTTTGATTGAGTGTTGGGTGCGTGTTACTCATGACCCTGTCATCGATGACAATGTAACAAATGTGGAAAAAAATGTCAAGCATATTCAAGGTACATCCTAGACCGAGCAATCTTTGTCAAGTAGGTTCAAATATCTACATAAAACATTGAACTCTTGGCAAGAAGTCCTAAAAAAAGCAGAAGCAATTTATCGAAGTGGCATAGTCTAGCCAATGAGGTAATAACATATTATTATTAATAAATTTCGAATATAAGTAATTAGTATTAGGACCTTGGTAATTAAAAGCAATCATTTGATTATGTAATTTGTTATGTTGTTTAAGAATTCTTTATTCAGCAACTACAAGAACACATGTTGTGACATCCCACATCGCCTAGGGGAGTGATCCTTAAATGTATATTCTTATCCCTACCTAGCACGAGGCATTTTGGGAGCTCACTGGCTTCGGGTTCCATGGGAACTCCGAAGTTAAGCGAGTAGCGCGCGAGAGCACTTCCAGGATGGGTGACCCATCGGGAAGTTCTCGTGTGAGTTCCCAAAAACAAAACCGTGAGGGCGTGGTCGGGGCCCAAAACGGACAATATCGTGCTACAGTGGTGGAGCGGGCCCGGGAAGTGGTCCGCCCCGGGCCGGGATGTGACAATTTGGTATCAGAGCCTAACCCTGGCCGCGTGTGTGCCGACGAGGACGTCGGGCCCCTAAGGGGGGTGGATTGTGACATCCCACATCGCCCAGGGGAGTGATCCTTATATGTATATTCTCATCCCTACCTAGCACGAGGCCTTTTGGGAGCTCACTGGCTTCGGGTTCCGTAGGAACTCTGAAGTTAAGCGAGAAGGAGGCTAGAGCAATCCCATGATGGGTGACCCACTGGGAAGTTGCTCGTGAGTTCCCAAAAACAAAACCGTGAGGGAATGGTAAGCCCAAAGCGGACAATATCGTGCTACGGTGGTGGAGCGGGCCCGGGAAGTGATCCGTCCCGGGCCAGGATGTGACACATGTGGTTCAATCTTCGAAACAATAATAAATCATTCACAAAGCACGAATGTTGGAACATCATGAAGCATACTCTGAAAAACAAAATTGTGTCATATGTTGGATGCCCTAGCACCATGCATTGGATGCCATAGGTTGTAGGCTACTGAGAATAATATTGTTTCAGTATCATACTAGGTTGTAATGTTATGCTTTGCTTTGTATTTGAAATTAATTTAATGGAGTTAAACAAGAAGTTTTAATTTCAAACAAACTTACAAAGTTCACACTTAAGCACACTTACAAGGCATAAAAGTAAAAACAAATATATTTGTAAATAGTCATCACCCTTACCCAACAAATGAACTTGTACAAAGACAATTACTTTTCAGAAGAACAGTTACATGCCCTTAACCTTATCCTCCTCCGTGGAATTGCTCTAAAGTAAATCAATTGATCTAATTAGCAAGAAAGAGCAATTAATTCTTTACACTATTTCTACAATATTCTAGTAGCATCTGAACTTTGGAGCCGTATGGATTTTGAAAAGGAAGTGGTTTTAAACAAATGTAAACAGTATGTTTATTAAGCCAATCAAAGATATATAGTACAACTATCTTAAAATGATTTATAGTACAACGGTCCCCACAAAACCTCTAACGCTCTCTTACTAATCTAAGATTAATAAATCCCGAAGTGTTCTTGTAATTCGTACCTATCTCAGATTAGTGGATGACGTTTGTGCACGTTTCATGTATAGGGATGGATCCAACCAAAAACTACCTAAAAAGAACTGATTACTAACCTTAATTAGTGTTTGATTAACTCATCCATTGGGTTTAGTTATGAGTTTGTCACTCTATTTGGTGACAAACAGACAATGCATTTCCTTAATTTCATATGTGAATCATGTAAGTATGTTAGGTTTTGGTCAAGTCGATCCTCCAACTCAATTGCTTATGGATAAGGTAATATCATATAAGACCTAATTAGTAACCTAACAACGCCTTATTTACCAGTCTAATTTGGATTTCTATTAATTAGATACCATACTTTGTGAGATAAAACTTCAACCATACAGACATTAAGGCATCTAAAAACATAATAAAAAGGAACTTTAACAAAAAATTCATTTTAATGAAAAATCATATTTTTATACTAAAAAGTCAATTCTGGTACTAGTCACTTTACCTTTCATGTTGTCCTTATCGTTAAAACTCAAAATTTTCAAACTTTTTCATTAGTTTTCTTTTTAAAAAAAAAAAAAAAAAAAAAAAAAAAAAAAAAAAAAACATTAACAGTAAAAGTAAAAAGTAATAAATCCAAAAGGGATAGATCACCCGCATCATCACATTTAAGGAAAAAGTCAAGACATTGTGCGTAAGATCACAATAACGAAAACCCTAAAGTAACTATAACTCTAAACCTAAATTGTCTGTCATCACGAATTGAGGCTACGCTGCCATAAAACTCATCGCACCTCGCCTTAAATCATTATAAATTCTTACATTCTCCATTTCCATATGTATGTTTTAAGCAGTATATGGTCTTGTTTCAAACACAATATATAATATTGCTACTTTAGGTTGCATGTTGGAAGAACTTTTTGTAAGATATAACTAGCTAGTTAAGCAAAGTGAGGTAAGTATAAATAAACATTTTAATTTGTTAAACCTTCCACAAACGTGCTTAATTACTTTTTACATTGTACGATCATCCAAATTATCACTAATGCATACCCAAATTAGAAGTTAAACCGTTCCATAATTCCATTGTTTATTCAGCAATCGAGATATCCGATCTTCATTAGACTGGTTAATAGAAAACTCAATCTTTCCTTATCAAATGAGATGGGATTATGCGTATGGGTAATGCCAGGATGATTAAATTTGAAAACAAAATTTTGAAAATTAAATGACATAGAAGTTGATGATTTGTTGATTACTTAAACGTTGATAAACGTGCTTATTTCTATTGATGACACATCGTTTAGTTTTCAAATTTAGTCTCCTAACGTTACTCTATGCGTATAAAGCATATATGCTTTGAATTAAATATGAACCAAGTTGCATAAAGGTTCCTTAACTTCCATTAAACATATCTAGGCTTTGAAAAAATAATTACTAGGTTATTAATCCTAGTGCACGAACCATATAGTAATAAACAAATGGGGATGGGTGGGCACAACACATGGCACATAAAATAAAACCCATAAATACTTGGAAGTCTTTTGAGAAAATTTTATTTTCATATTTTATACCAGAGATATTTGAAAAGAAAGATATGAATTTGTATTGGGAATAAATTCCACTTTGATGGGGGGATAAATTTTTGTATGTGAGTAATTGGATTATTTTTCATATTGTTAATTAGTTTTATGGTATAATCTCTAACTTTCTTTATTATATTAGATCAGGTTATCCAACATGTGAAGCCTAACGGGTACACGTGTTCCACGCCATCCTGTTGTGTTATCCATGTATTAGATTTGAAAATCCATCACACGTGATGAGGTGTGTTAAGAATGAAATTCACACTGATGAAATGAAAGACCTTACATGCGTTTATAAGTAATTAAACTATTTCTCATATTACTAATTAGTTGTTATAGTAAAGTAAAACCCTACATATTTTCAATTCAAAACTTCAAATGTTAAAAAAAAATAATGCTCTTAACAAATTGCGCTGAGCGAGTTCGAAGAATAAAACACTTTGTGTACCTTCCTTCTTTTTGTAGGGCATAATCCAACTTTGTTTTTATTCTTTTCATCATATTCTTTTTATAGCTTACTATTGATGGGTGGCATCTGACTAAATAAATATTCTCATAGGCAGGAAATGAAGGAGTATTTGTGCACTTAGCTACGCATAGCAAATTGACATCCTATCTAAATTTCTGAGTTTGAGGTGACTTTATTTTAATTTCTACGTCCTTTTTTTGTCTATCTCATTATCCTACTTCACACAAATCTCTTTTTCTCCTCTATGAACAGCCCAAATGTTTGAGTACGACGACTTCGAACTTAAAAATCCCGAGAGAATCTTGATTCCTACCTAGCTAGCAAAAAATAGACATATATACGTGTACTATATATTCTAGCTAGATCAAATATTCCAGCCGACAAGGGACATTTTTATGACATACTTTTGTGATAATGTTCTACTGTTTTTTAACCAGATAGACATATAGATACACATTTTTTCTAAACTACTATGATTTACGAAAATAATAATTTTCAATTGGAGGTTTTTTCCTTTTTAAGTACATACATATATAGCTCGACAAAGAAATTTCTTGGTACTGAAGGAGACTTAATTTCATGGGTATAACTTTCTACTCAATACTCTTACATGATTCATTTAATTCTCTTGATTGTAATTACACTTTGTTGCATTAAAACTCCAGATAGAAGGTCAGAAGTCCCCTTCTAATAGGTCAAGCACCGATATTGTTTTCAATTCAACCGCTTATTAGACCAACTAGTGTGAAATTAGCACAAAAGACTTGGATAAGATTAGAAATAAAACCACTCAGTATAAATTATACTTTATTGTGTCAAATCTTTATGGCACGAAATGTTGATAAGCGAAAATTATACTCTATGATATGGAATGTTGGATGGTAAAGCATCGACATGTACATAAAATGAATGTAGTGGAGATGAGAATGCTTCGTTGGATGTGTGGGCACACGAGAAAGATAAGATTAGGAATGAGGATATCCAAGGTAAAGTAGGAGTAGCCGAAATTGAAAGAAAAATAAGAGAAAATCAGTTACGATGGTTTGGGCATGTGAAACAAAGGCTTACAGACGCTTCGGTTAGAATATGCAATTACGTGACAGAGGTTCATGGCTGAAGAGATAGAAGACCCAAGAAGACTTTGGAAGAGACTCTGAGAAAAAACTTAGAGTACTTGGATCTAACGGAAGACGTGGCACAAAACTGAGCGCAATGACGTTTTAGGATTCATACAGCCAACCATACTTAGTGAAAAAAATGCTTTGTTGTTGTGTCAAATCTTTGACGTAGGACTTTGTGTACTCTTCAACGAGAAGGCCTTCTGTACGTGTGTCGGATTAGGGGGGTTGTGAGTCTAGTGACATAGGATGGAACCAACAGTAGATCATGGTTAGCACGAAAAGTCATGGGGAGTGGGATAGGGGATGTATTTTGTGTTTAGATCAGCATGGGCACGTAGTTCAGTTGCCGTCGGACTCAAAAATTCTCCTCTTCAACATACTGTGCTCGAATGTGGGATTTGGTTTGTTATCAACAAGCCCAAAACGAAGTTAAACATGGGTTGCAAATTTGTTTAGGGATAAAATGGGTTGCAGCTTGGTTTGCAGCCTGGTTTGTACCATTGTCTTTGGGCCTCATTTAGCTTGGGGTCTTAGGAAAAGCAAGGGATTTAGGCACCATATTTATGTATTTCAAACCGAGTATTTTACAATCTTTTGCGATAACAATGGAGTTTAGGAGACTAAAAGCCTCATGGTTTCATGTAAATTGAACTCGAAATCAAAACCTTTGCTGGAGAGAAACATTCTATGCAGTAGAGCTAGCCCAGTTGTCACAAATGAATTCATAACTCATGTTATTAGCCAAAATGTCGATTACGAAAACAAAGACGATCACATTTTAGGGAAAAGCTATTTTTCTTAGTACAAAACATGTAACTATATTGCTCTTGGAGGTTTCTCCAACAGCGCAGAAAAGTAGACCTCATCCTTTGATTTAGGAGAAATAGCCCACTTGTGTTTCTTGTACCTCAGCTGCAGAAACATGTACATGAAATCATCCAAATCCTTTCTAACACAGAAGAACCGGTCAATCCATAACAATCCGCCTGGCCTCAGAATTCGATCCCAATCAAACAGGATAAAATCCAGCAGTTGCAGGTCAATCCAGCCGTCTAGAAATCCACTGGTGTGAATCATGTCCATTGTGTTGTCGAAGAATGGTAGGCGTTGATTCAATGTTACAAACAATGGAATCAAACCTCTCAGTGCAATCATCTCGTTGAAAGGCGCCTTGAGGTTAAGAGCAGTAGAGACTACTGTAATGTTATGTTCTCTCATCCTTGCAGCGAAACTTCCAGTGCCAATGCCAAAGTCGAGACCAATCCTCATCTCCCCGGGCTTAATAGTCAAAACATCACTGATCAGAAAATCAACGGAAAGTGAGCTATTTGTAACCCATTTAAGCTTTTCCTTCTCCATTTCGAAACACCCGACACACTTGAAATAACCCTTCTTGGTGTTGTTTCCCATCAAGCACTTAAAGTTCCTGCACTGATAATTGCTCCACCGCACATTTCTATCATCCGGTAGTTTCCAAAGAGACTCATTGATAGGGTAAGGCTTCTGGTAGACCATTGAGGCCCTTGTCAAGCACCGCCTCCGAGGCAGAGGATCACAACCGTTAAGCATCAGCTTCTGAGCTAAGTTCCAATCATCATTACAATAAGACCCGATATCATAGCTCATGTACTCTTCCAACCCTTTCTTGTATAACACACAAGCATGTCCAATTGTATTGTATATCCTTTCTGTTCCATATATATTAAGCTTCCCGGTTCTACTCTCCTTTGGGGTTATATACTTCCTTATCTCTTCAATCACAAAAGTGTTAATCAAAGGCTCCTCTTTCATCGTTGAGTTGTGAATACCTTCAGCTTTAGGTAACCGAATCAGCCTCAGAGAAATGTGAGCGGCATAAAGAGGCCTGATTACTTCCTCCTCCAGATACTTCTTGTACTCGAATTTTGTAATGTTAGTTGTACGTAAAGTCTCTTTGTCCTTCTCCATTTGCTGGACAGCTGACTCGAGCTTTTCTTGTAAGCTTTCCAATTTATTTAGAACTTCCCCTACTCGATCAGACAAAGCTTTTATGTCAAACCCTTCATATGCATCTTTGACGCCAGTAAATTGTCGGCATATATCTTCATTGTGGAAGAAAAACCCAGCAGAGTAGAACTTCACGAGACTGCATATGCTCAAAATTATAACAAGGCCTCCTAGTAGAATCTGAAGCCAACCCATTGATTTATTACCTAGTCTACATTTCGGATGACACAACCTCGCCATCCTGAATTAAGCACGAAACTTCAACTTTCTTTCTAACCAACCACTAATTCTGTACTTCCTTGTCTCGGATTTTCAACCTAGTAAAAAAACCAAATCACAATGATTACGAAATGATCTGAATGTAAAATGTTCTGCACAAGCCACCATCGAACTTCCACATCTAAAACAACGTATCATTTTACCAAGAAAATATAGGAACAGAGAATGGATTACTAAGCCTCCATATCAAATTTATCATGCTCACGGAAAAAATCCAAGATTCGGTTGTGCGTATATCTCGCAACATGAATCAGATTTTACAGCAATGGATAATTTTCTCTTGCGATCAACAGAAGCATAAACATATGAAATTTCTCCCAAACTTCACAGAGGAGTCAATTGCCGTTACCACCGTGTGAATTAGTTCTAAATATACCATTTCATTCTCAAAAGCCAAAACATCAAACACAAGTTAAAAGACTCAGAATTCCTTTCATTTCCTCGGATTTTCTCAGCATCCAAACATCATCTTACAAAGGAAAGATATAGTCGAAGCTGAAAACAAGCTACGTAAACCATAACTGAAATATATAACCCAAATTTAAACATATCCAGAACCAGAATCTCCAGAAATATGCATCAAATCTAAAGCCAAAACATCAAACACAAGTTAAAAAGACTTAAAAATGTTCCTTTCTTTTCCCTCAGATTTTCCCAGCATCCAAACAACATCTAACAAGAGAAACATAGAAAATGAAGCTGAAAGCAACCCACTTAACCATTAATTAAACAAACCTTCCAAATTTAAACCTACCCAGATAAAGAATCTCCTCCAAACTGAAGCCAAATCAATCTTCCTCTGCACAAACTTGACATATCTTATAAACCCAAAATCTGAAAGATAAAAAGATTGGATCTTGCAGTAATACTTCAAAATTACTCCAAATAATACATTTCCCAATTGAGCATTAAGAGCTGTAAATTAAATATCTTTCAAGCTTACTAAACTCACGAAATCCACAAAATTCGCCACATTTTATGCTCTTTTGAATTATTTAATTAATTTAGCTGCATTTTTCTTACTCAACAGGCTTTGAAGCACGAATCTCCAGAGGAAAAATGCTGATCATACAACAAATTTATATAATTAAATACTAAATCGTTTGCACACTTGTTGTTTAAACATAGAGTAATGTTAAGAAAACTAAATTTATAGATTAAATTTGTAAACTAAATGATGCGTCACTAATAATTCAATTATTAACTTCTATATTATTTAGTTTACAAATTTAATCTCCTAACATTACTCTTAAATATATTAAAACGGTAACCAATTATTTGGACTAAAGTTGACAAACAATGAAACATGATTATTGATGATTGAATTATTACTTAAACGTTGATAATGTAATTATTATGTAAATTTGGTTTTCGAGTCGAATCGAATGAATAAGTTTAAAAAAAATCAATAGACAAAAATGAATAAAACACTACCATAAAAAATTAATATGGTTAAGATTATCTTAAACTAAAGGAGTTACTCTGTAAATATGCTGATCTGGAGCTCAATGAACAGCGTTGACCAGATGATGGCAGTGGGCCGGGTCAACCCGATTAGGGCCGGTTTAATTTCCATGGAAATGGAGAAGGCAAGAGCCCTAAAAAGGCGCGAGAGGAGGGTAGTGTGACGTCGTTTAGTCACATGCACTGCCGTTTACTGAGGTCGGGATATTACTGTAGCTGTCGTGTGACCTAACGGTAAAACGATTAACGAAGTTATCGTGTTAGGGATGATCTTTTCGAATTTGAATTTATTTCTGTTTTCATTTAGGGTTTGCCATTGTGAAAATTGTGATGCTAAAGACCATCTACTTAGAGAGATTTTCTTAGTACTCAAAACCACTAGCGGAGCCACATTGCGGTCATTGAGCTTACATGACCCCAATAACTCAATGTTTTTTCTTTTTTCTTTTTTTTTTGTCTTGACCCCTATCAATTTGGGAAATAAATGGTTTGTAGGTTAGCTTTTTGTTTCTCAACAGTTTCCTCTTTGCTACTGCTGCTTCAATTTTCTTCTTTCTTTCCTCTATCTTCTTCTTTTGTAGTGTATCTTCTTCTTAATTCAGATTTTCTCTATCTCTTACAATGTGCTTAACTCAAATTCTTATTAATTGACCAAAAAAAACTCGTGTTCTAATTTTCACTTATGTTCTTGATTGCATATTTCCTGGATGTATTGACTTCTTGATTCGTGGCTTATTGCAATGTGTGGTGCTTGATGTTTTCTTTGACTTTTTGTTAGTGCTTTACATATAAACAAAAAATACGATATTACTACGTGGACAAATTATAAACAAAAATATGCTTAATTTTACACTTACTTATCATGACCCCATTGTTATATAATCCTGGCTCCGCCACTGCTCAAAACACATATACATACTTTATATGTTATTATACACGTAGAAGGACACTTGGAAAAAAAATTCACTCCGCTTGTGTAATAACTTATAGCAGATCGTCCCGTATTTCGAGCACATTGAAAAATAAAGAATTCAACCATCAACCATTATATTATGTGGTTTACAAAATATGGTCTAAAAAATAGTCTTGCTAACATTTTCCTTGTGAAAATACAAGATAAATTGTCACATCCCCCCCCCCCCCCGAGGCGGATCATTTCCCGGGCCCGCTCCACCACCATAGCACGATATTATCTGCTTTGGACTTACCATTCCCTCACGGTTTTGTTTTTGGGAACTCACGAGCAACTTCCCAGTGGGTCACCCATCATGGGATTGCTCTAACCCCCTTCTCGCTTAACTTCGAAGTTTCAACGGAACCTGAAGCCAGTGAGCTTCCAAAAGGCCTCGTGTTAGGTAGGGATGAGAATATACATTTAAGGATCACTACCCTGGACGATGTAGGATGCCACATAAATGCATACTATGGGTCACATTATATTTTGCACTATCCTGGTTTAAGGTATGAAATATTTTGGTTTTTGTATTTCAAAAATTGATTTTTAATTTTGGGTAAAGTACAAAAAACTACCTTAACTATTGGTATCACAACACTTTCAACCTTATCTTTTAAAATTGACAATGTCATACCTCATCTTACGAATTTGTGCCAATATTATACCTTCCATTAGCCTGCCGTTAATTTGTCAGTTAAATGCTGACGTGACTTGATTCAGGGCCCACTTTCTATTAAAAAAAATTAATAAAATATTATTAAAAACTTAAAAAAAAAATCATTTAATATTTTTTAAATATTAAAATAATTAAACAAAGTGAAAAAAAAAAAAAAAAAACAAAACAAAACCTTTCGTCCCTTTCCCCCTCCCCCATCTACCTGCTACAACCCAGAAAACAAATGAAGAGGGGAAAAAAAAAAAACAAAAAACCTTTCGTCTCTTATTCTTCTTCTTCTCCTAATTCTTTCTTCTTCTTTAGGGGGTTGGGGGTTTGATGGGTTTTCAAATTTTTTTGGTTGAAGATTATGCAAGGGTTGTCACACAAATCCCTAGATTCATAGCATTATGTTGATTCCTGCACATTCCAGCTCCATGGCTAAAGACTTTTCCAGCAGTAGCAGACCTCCACGCCTACTTCCAAAACCCTAGACTCCGCCGATTGCAAATCCAATGGCCTCATCGTCCACACCAAACGCCCCTGCCTCTCCAACAGGACGACTTCTTTTTCTATCGATGCAATCGACATGTCCCGGCTTACCTTAGTTGACGACGACATGACGATCTCTGGCAGACACCATACTAGGAACGGGAGCTTCCAGTTCCGCGAAGAAGCGGCGGCGTCGTGGGTAAAGGTCGGTTTTTGGGAGGAGTAGTGAGCAGAGTGGGACTCGGAGGTGCTGTTCGATTGGGGCTTCGGCGGCGTATGGGACGTGTTCGGATTTTCCGGTGGTGGTGGGGACGGACTCGAGTAGGGAGCTATTTGGGAATGGGGATGCGAATTGGGCGATGAAAGGTTTTGATTTTTGTTTTTTAATTTTCTTTATTATTTTAATAAAAAAAATATTAAATGATTTTTTTTTAGTTTTTAATAATATTTTATTAATTTTTTTAATAGAAAGTGGGCCCTGAATCAAGCCACGTCAGCATTTAACTGACAAATTAACGGCAGGCTAACAGAAGGTATAACATTGACACAAATTCGTAAGATGAGGTATGACATTGTCAATTTTAAAAGATAAGGTATGAAAATGTCGTGACACCAATAATTGAGGTAATTTTTTGTACTTTACCCTTTAATTTTTTACTACAATGCAGTTACAAAGTATTACATTATTAAACATTTTATCCGTTAAATTATCAATTTAGCTGTTATTCTTTTACTTGAAAGTATTTGAAATCAATAAATTTTGACAAAATGTGAAGACTTTAAAAAGACAAATCTTGAAAGTGACGAGTTATGAGCTTCGCTCTCCCACATAATTTTTTTACAAGATCTTTCCTCGTACAAATAATATATGGGAAATAATTTCATACAAATTATTAGGTTATTGGACATTTCATTCGGCCCAAACTCACTTTTAATACATATCATATAAGAGTAATGTTATGAAGATTAAATTTGTATAAAAAAAATTTGCAAACTAAATGATATGTCACTAGTAAGAAATGAGTACGTTATCAACGTTTATGTAATAATTCAATCATCAACTTTTATGTTATTTAATTTAAAAAATTATTTATAAATTTAATTTCCTTAATATTAATCATGCCGTAAATATTTGACAAAATTTACAGTCTCAATGACCACTCTCCAACTTATTCATATCGATAAGCTTCTCCATGTCGTTTTGAAGTGAAGGAACATGATTGATTTATAAGGTAGGTTTTAGGTTTTGCATAATAGCATACATATGATATAGGTTTGTAGTCATGCTTCATACTTGGCAAACAAACGTGTCAACTTTTCAGCATAAAAAAGTATCATGTAATTACCAACACATCATACACTACCATTTCATGATACACATTTTGCATGTAACAGTTCTCTATTTATACACCAACCTTTAAGCATGTATCTTAAGTGCATGTGGTTCAATATCATAATGAATAAGGTGTTGGGTTTTTACTCATGCATTTCGAGTTCAAAACTCTCTCATTCCTTACTGTTGTAATAGTTTCGAACCCTCCCTCTCCCCTTGATAATAATAATTTTAAAAAATAAAATCTTAAACACTTCCAATGATACAAAAATATAGTGACAAAGATGGCTTCAAGGGTTAGTTTAGTGGTGAGAAGAAGTGTGAGGCAATGAGTGAAGAGTGAACACAGAGTTTGAAACCCTCACGTAATAACAAAATATCGATAAATTCATGGTTATGACAAAATTTTCAACATTAATAAACGACAATATTTTCTATTTCGCCAATATTGTTGATATTTTTCTAGCACCTCTATTACTTTTGGTCTTAGTTTTCTATGAAAAATACGAGGAAGACTAAATTTTTAGACAATTTTTTTTATAAACTACATGATGTGACGATTGATTATTGGACTTCTTATTTAACATCATATGGTTTACATGATATATTTTAAAATTTTACTCTCTTTAACATCACCTAATTTTCACTTGCGCTTGCTAAATGGGTATTTCCATAAGATCGACTTGAGGTCGTTTATAATAATTTATACTATGCTTATACCAAACATGTTCTTATGATAGTCGAATATTTATGATGACATGAATAAGTTCTAGTTTGTTTTATTCCAAAGAAAACGTCATAATTTGAGTATTTCAGTTAATTACAAATAGACAACGATGTAATTTCTCATTTCCCATTTACACAAGTTTGTTCGAAGTTTATTCATGTTTTTTTGTTTGTTTAAACTAAACAAATTTACGAGATTTGAACCTAAATATCATTTTGGTTATAATTTCTCCCTTTCACATGTTAAATGAGCATTTTAGTATTGAGTTAAGGTTGTTCAACTAGTCCTTACTTTAACGACGTCTTTCTTCTTAACTTTGTTAGAGGTCACAAGTTTAAATCTCCACTCCTCACTAATAACAAATAAAACATATCTAACGAGATTTGAATATTTATGAGGACACGAAAAAAGTCCTAATTTCTTTTA